GTATACTTTGTTATTTCTAGCAATTTAACAGGTAACTTGATAATCACTTGCTGTACAGGCACAGCGACAGTTTTCATATTAGAGTCTTGTAACACAAATTGTTTGTGATCGAACATCGTACCTTTTGCCGCGCAAACGGACGTCACTTTTGTATAAGATGAATGCCTGATTGTCTAGGCCTTTATGGACTACAAGTCAAAATTGAATACGTGAAACAAGGTCAAAAACTTGGAGGCTGCAAACGGATAGACGCACATATTCTTGAAAAGCAACCTAGTTCGACAGTAATGAAAGGGTTTCATTCCTTATCCCACAAGCAATCCACAGACTATTACACTAAACAAATAAACGTATCTTATGAAGACAAACGAACGAACAAAACTTACCTACCGGACAGGCTGATTTTATGAAATAATCAGAAAAAAATAAAGAAAAATCCATATATATATATGTACCTATTGTTTATAAATTACAACATGCGAAATGTGAAATACACAAAAAAAAAATGAAAACATGATACGGGAATATCACCAGAACTGTGGCTGCATGATGCTGATGATAACTATTCTGATGATGATGACGATCAAAAAAGTTGGTGAGAGGCTGATGCATAGCGATCTCCATGATGACAGCACATTTGTTTGTTTTATTTTTTGTACATTAAATAGTCTCGATAGATGATATTGTTCAGGGATGGTACTATTCATAGAAAAGTTTCCGTTTAAATGCTTATGGGAAATGTGATAACTCATATTACATATTTACTTGCAAATAGGTAAATTAACAATGGCCTTTATATGAATGATTACCGTATTTACTGTAAGGTTAAAAAACAGGTCGTACACAAATATAATTGAATTGCTGTCAGTATAGAATTTCGTTATCGTTATTTTTAAAGTTGTTTTCGCATGTTTTTGTTATTTATTATTGGCATTACAAATATTTACTAGCTCCCTTATATATTGTAACGTCCGCTTACGTTTGAAAAGTAGGGGTTTCGTCGGTCTGGTTTGAACACTACTCTATCACAATAGAGTAAGTAAGACGGTAATATCGGCCTGCCGTTATGCAAAAACCTCATTTACGAGAATAACCATTATGCAAAAGCCTTTATTCATAATTGTCCCACTCTCTCTCTCTCTAGGGAACGCTATTATGCGAGAGACAACTATAAAAAGAGGACAATTCCAAAGTCCGTCTGTGTGGCTTAAGAACATTTTTCCCTGATGCTTTGAACAAAAGTCAGTTAGTTTTTGTACTAGAAAAAGTCAGGTGGTTTTTGGACTGGAAAGGTCGATCAGTTTTAGTGCTATTAAAGAAAGAGTTTGGTGTTGTAGAGTGAGTTAGTGTGCTGCCGTCGAAAGAGTCAGTATTGTGCTGTCTGGAATTGATTTTGAGCTGTCGAAGAAAAGCTCTTAAATGTTTTATAAATTCTTGTTTTGAAAAGAAAAAAAAGGAGCCAAAATAGCAAAGTAAACTAGATCAAATTGGGAGAAAAAAAAAGTAAATGTATTAAAAACTTGAAAAGAAAAAAATTAATTACCGTTCAAGCTAAAAAGTTTAATTTTGTTTTAGCTCAATAGTCTTAACAAAAGTATTAGTTAGATTAGAGTTTTTTATCGCAACAGCCTCTGCAAAATAATATACGTAAATGTGTGTAACACTGAGAAAAAACTATAAACACGCAATGAACGTTTACATATATAATTGATTAATTAAAATACACTTGTTATTGTTAATATTAAAATGGCAAAAAAAAAGGATATTAATATATTGATCGTAATTAGCAGCCACCTGCAAGTCTTCAATTTAACCTTTTGTGAAATACTAACGCTTGCAAAGACTCCAATAATTAAAAAAAAAAACATAAATAGATGAGAAAAACAGAAAAAAATGCGTTTAAATGTTTTTTTAAATTCTTGCTGCGGGAACAATCGTAATTGTAAAAGAAACTTCTTAAATAGTTCGATGCCGTGAATAGTGGAAATATGAAAAATAAACCTAATGAGATCGACTTGTGCAATTACACAATATTACCTCTCGTTTGTTTACATAAACATTAATATAGAAATGCAAAAGGAAGAACTTGTTTAAAGAAGTGATTTTTTAAGGTAAAAGATGAAAGAAACAAAAAATTACCAATTTTTTGAAAGTCCAAGACAACTAAAATTAGTTCACACAACACTTAATAGTACAACATTTGTAATTAATTAGCAATCTTTAATATCGCCATTTGAAAGAGATAAGATGGATAGCCACCATTTAATTTTTTGGATTATGATAATAGGAAGACGAGCTAAAATGTAGATTATAGAGGGACAAGTCCAAACCACTTTGAAAAACAACACAACTAGTAAAACTGCCTTCCACTGCATGATATCTTGAAATATTATTATAAAAAATTATACAAACCGTTATAATATGATGTATGACAAAGACTTTAATAAACAAATTAAAAAACAATAAATTTTAATTTATAAAGCAACACATAGAAGTAAAGTATTCATTTAAATTGTGAAAGCTGAACAAATTTGCCCGATTTTTGCAGAAGTTCGCATTGCAAACGCTCACGTATATGTGCTATGTATCATTTATATTTGCCCCTACGTTGGTGCTGTGGACCTACGTTGGGCGCCACTTTTAAGTGTAACCAGGCGTGTGTACATCAAACTTAGTCCTATGTAATCATACCATTACACCAACTTTAATTAAACAAATCCACTAGTAAGTTTGTCTGCATCCTCTTATATATCCCTTGTTATCTAAATAAATTCTAGGGCAACCTTGCAATAGATTATAAGAGGAATGGAGGCCTTTGAGTCATGGCTAAGCTAGCTAGTTTGCGAGATTTGGGAGGGGTTCTATATTGTTGCACACGAACACTCATATGGCGGTTACAACCAAGAGGCTTACTTGCCCCTTACCAAAAATGCGAACTGACGAAGCTGTACCCTATCGAACGGAGATCCTATGTGTGCCGAGAGCCTTTCATTACCAACCCTGCCTGTTGGTCTCTCCTCGGCCCCTGATTTGTGGAAGACTCCTAAGTTGGGTCAGAAGGCCGCTTTTCAAACTACTTTCCTCGCATTGTAAAAAAAGAATTTAGCACATTTTCAAGAGTAACAATCTTTTATATAAAGTACTTTAAGTAATAATATTTATTTAAAGCATTCAAATATAAATTCTAAGATCCCTCGAGCTCATAAGACACGTCAATTCAAATATACTATAAAGGCGGTACAAACACAAAAATAAATTTGAATGCGACGAAAAGGTATAAATTTCAATGCTTCATGATAAAAATTATATCATAATAGTAATTTTACATAAAAAAATTAGCTATACCAAGTCCGGAGCATCTCAGTCTATTTTTTGGATACCACCCTATGTGCAACAGCAATTTTAATATAAGGTGATGAAAATTGATCCATAATAATTTCATACAAAAATCTATTCTATTTTTGGATTCTGCCTTATGTAAGAATTAAATTTGTACTACATAAAGTTGTGTTTTAGGTCTGTTTCTTCATAAACACGCACGTGAAAAATACGCGTTTATATAAAAACAAGGTATAACTTTTGTGTTCTGTAATAAAACTAAGAATTATATTAGACAATGTGGTGCGGGATACTTAACGGTGGCCTTGCCCGACTATAATGCTCTCGCTTGTTTTATGTAAAATTACTATCATGAGATAATTTTGATTATGATGCATTGAAAATTATACCTTTTCGTCGTATGAACTCCATTTTTCATTATATGCGAGGGTGTTCAAAAATTGCTCGAACTGGCCTAAAGTTTTCATATCAATTTAAAGTGTTGAAATACTACTGTTTAGCTACTTTTGCCGAGAATTTTTGAAAATTGCAATTTTTCTCTATATAACCACTTTCAGAATATGGCGTTATATTGGGAGTGGTCAGAGAAGTGAACTGATCCCAACCATTCTAAATAGCTGTCGTCCTTGACGAGTCAGATCTCCTTCCAGAACTAGCTAGGTCCCTTCTCGAAAACTCGTCAGCACAAACAATTCCACCAAAGGTTCAACACCTAAACTTCTTTCAGTGATAAAAAACAAGATGTTTATATATAGCGCAAACCTATTATATTTAATTATTCCACGCTATAAAACTCCTTAAGATGAGCATAGCGCCTTACAATTATCATATGATGATTTCAAGAGAGACAGCGCTGTCCGAATGTGCTTATCTATTCAAATCTGCAGTAAAGAGCTCTTTCAAGGACCTCCACCTTGCTTTACAATTTTCTACTACAATATAAAGAAGATTAACTCAACTGTTTGCAATTTTTTTTAGTTATACTTTCTAGGCACTTTTATATTAATCTGTGGACATATCTTTCTACCTTTTGGTTTTTGAAAGAAAGCATTTATCGTACACTTTTTGCTTTGATATGCTTCATTTAACAACTGCCCTTCCGCCCTTTTTTTTCGATTAACTAAATTTTATTATTGCATTCTTTATATATTAATTTTTTTTTTCAATTTTTTTGATTTAGTTTCATTTACTGTTGGTTCTGTATATGGTATATATTAAAAATTGAAACAACTATTTTAATATTACTTGGATTTTTTCTCTCCCTGTTTGTTTTCCACAATAATAGTAAATATGCAAATATTTATTTTCAAGCCTGAAACCATATGATTTTGTTTTCTTTTCATGTTTTTCAAGCCAAACAATTTTTCAGTGCTTTACTTACACACTGACTTTTAGTAAACTAGCTCTGATTTGGATGGCGTACCTCAAAAATTATTTCAGAAAAATAGTGGGCAAATAAGGGGCAAACTTGGGGCTTGTTTGTTTACTATGATACAATGAATAACGAAATCATAAAACGGTAAGTAAAAATAAAATTTTGTAAAATTTTTGGCGAAATATAATAAAATGAAATCCTAAGCACTTTTAATAATAAAAGCAAAAAACAGTAAAAATTGTAACTAATGAGTTCCATTGCTTTACCAACCGGCGCAAATACTTACATATAAAATGCGGCATGGAGTTATCTGAAATTCTAATGTGTTGTGAGTAACAAAGTGCAGGCAACTTTGATTAGTAGTGAGTAGATAATATTTTCGGGTTTTTTGTCAATTAATCCTGCAAGAAAAATTTTCCACAAGTTGAGCTTAGCCATAAGTATAACAGTAGTGTACAATTATTAGTTTATTTTGTAATTGTTTTTTATATATGTTTAAAATCCTTTACGTAACAGGTTACGAGGCCGGGAACAACATTTCAAATAAGAAATGGAAGTAAGTGCTTGTATTAATTTTCATTTACAGTATCAATAACTATATAATTATTAGTAAAAATAAAATTTGGAAAGGCTCTGAGCTTTGATATCTTGGATTTGCTTGGGAAGAATGCTGAAAGTGGTTAACGACACAAATAGAAACAATTTGAAAGTCAAGAACAAATGGTGCATTTGTTAACGGAAATTAAAACTGACTATAAAGTTCTATTACAGCAACTTACAGCTATCTCCCAAGAAAAGAAGCATTTAATTCGAGTACCTAAATCCGAAAATCAAAATTCCGATTAACGCAATTTTCGTTTTGGTTTTCATTGCGGGCCTGAACTTTGCATTTTGTCTTTTAATTTTATATATTTATAAACTAACGTATGAATTTTCCCATAACGAGACTATGTTTTAAAATTAGATTTTTTCTTGTTAATCAGCTTCTAAAAATAAAACCCAACTTTTTAATTTTCATAAAAGCTAACTTATTGCTTACAGTTTTTATTTCAACAAAATCCAGTTTGAAAACGCGGAGGATTTCCTCACTCTTCCGCCTCAATTGGCAAGGCTCTAGGAAGACGTCGAATACGATTTCCTTGATCTAGGAAATTAAAAGTTCACTGCTATAATTTTTACGACGTAGTCACAAACCTTACGAACAAAATATTTACATGTATATAGAGTAAAACATGCCTATGTCGATTCATTCATCACCCATCCATTCAGCCTTTGCTTGCCTTTTCCGTTTATGAAACGTTCTTAATTTTGTGCGGATTTAGGAATACAAATGTGGTTTCGGTCTACACATCCAACCACTTCAATAAATATCGTGAATATTCCAACCTTAGTTTCTTGTATAAGAACATGTTAAAAGAACAAGAAAAGCTTGGAAGAGATTTTACCTATCATCAAAAATATTAAATTTCCTATGCAACCACTCTTTTGTGTTGGCTTTAATACCCCATCGAATCAATTCTACGTATTTTTTTTTTTTTTTTTTTGGTTTCTTATATCATTTCTGATACAAGAACAGAAATGTGTGCTCAAACCGTCCAGACCCCAACAGCTCCAAAGTAAGGGCTAAACAGATCAGCGGAGGCATTCCGGTTCTTCTTATGCTATCACTCGCACCAATTTTTTTGAAAACGTATACAAAAGCCCCTTTTGTCATGCAAAAATTTAGCAGAAATCTACATGTAACAATATGTACATTTTAATTTATTTTGTTGACAAAACATTTACTTACACATTTTCGGATAACATAAGAAGTCCATCTACATCTTACGGGATACTTTTCCCGTCAATCCCGACGTTCCTCTCCTGCCAATTAAGGGTATTAACTAGACAATTGAAGTGAAAAACAAAAAAAAAGAATTAGTTTACTTACCTTTCGCAAATTTCACAGCTGTGTGTACGTAAACAATTTTTTGCGTAAAATCCTTTATTTTCAATTTGCTGCTGTTTTCTTTTATAAATGCAGCTCTAAATAATCAATGCTAAAGCAAAGCGTGAGTAATTTTCAACAATTTCGAGGGAACGTTCCTCACACCTCCTCTGCAACCTCACAACTAAAAAACTGGAAAATGAAACCTAATTGACGCCATACATGACCAGTGCACGGTTTTTAACATTTACGTCGATATATTTATATTTTCTTATTGAATAATACGATAATGGGGCTTCTTCTTGTTCTTACTGCTTGGGACTTGCCTACCTAAAAGCGTAATCAAGCTTGTGACACACGAGCATTGATTATGTATATTTTATTAATTTATTACCGCTTCAAGCACGAAAGAAAGATTAGCTCTGTTTTTAGGTTTTGTAAGACTCGTCATAACTTTCTTTGCTTTCTATTGCTTGGAGAAAAATAAATAGTAAACAGGGCACAAGCTTGCCATTTGTTTTTTATACACAATTAACAATTTTTGGACAACAACAAAGTCATGCAAAAATATGTATATACGAAATATTATTAAATGTTGTTGACTTTGTACGTAATAAAATGAAATAAAGTGAACCACTTTCTAAAATGCGAACATAGTATAGGCCAAAGACCAAGATAAAGAGAAATTTATCAATACAAACTAAACTAGTGTTCAAAATAGCCCATTCAGTTTGACTGTAAACGTGTGGATGTGAAACTAATTCCTTGCAAAATTTTTCATTTTAATTACACAGTGTTGTGATTTGAAAAATAAATCTCAAATCTATTTTTCTGCCAAACACGATAAATGGAGCACAGGAAACCATTACTTAAGTTTTTATTTATATGATTCAAGAATATTTTTCTTACCTCTCACAAATATAAACTTTTTTGCTTTGTTTCTCTTCTTCTTGCAATTGAGCAATTGAACAACAAATGATTTAGTCTTTGTAGAAACAAAGTGCCAGATGTATACATGAATTGTTTGTCTAGACTTTTTGTTTGTATGTAAAACAATTTTCTTTATATTTTGTTGTGTTTTTCTTTTACAGCTGTTTTTTTCTTATAAATGCAACTCTAAACATCTAATTCTAAGACAAATTTGTTCAAACAGATAGCTATTGTGCTTGCAACTCGTTTGACGGATATAAGAGAGGATATTTCAGTGCTGTTGTGCACACATAAAATTAAAGTTATCGAACAGTGGTGGATAGCGACGTCAGCAATAATCACTCGAGAAACGATAGTTACATTTCTCATATATAACCGGTGCCCTGATTTTTGGCAATCATTTGGGTGTGTGTAAATTGTGTTTCAATCCTATTTTAATTTTTTGTGGCTCTGAGAGACATAATGATAAAAATGGACCGTCGTCCAAAAAGAATTTATAATTTTTCGAAAAAAATCGTTTTTTTCGGTTGTAACACACCTGTTTCAATTCCTACCATATTCATCATAAATTGGTTGCTTTCTGTGTATTATTGCTTCTAAGTGATTGTTAACGTGCTGAAACGCATTATGAAAGTAATAAATCTTAACGGCAAAGTAAGTGCGAAAATATAACCTGAGGCAAGAAGTGGACAAAAATGGATAAGAAGTCTAGAAATACTTAATGCATTATACAGAATTTGATACGTATTATTGCCAGTAAGAAACCCAATAAATCCTATCCTTCAGTGATGTGTATAAAAACGACATGGAGAAGATAAGGTTCGCTAAAATTAAGCATCGAAAATTTAACAAAAGCAAAACACTATGATTGCCAAGTTTTAATATACATTCAGTGCGTACTAAGAAGAAGCTCTAAAACGAATGGCAACAAAACATTATTTCTCTCTTTTCTTATTTATACTACTCTAAAGGGATGAGGGGTAAAAAAGAGCTTTCATTTTCTTTATCAATTATAAATTCATTTTCCTTTCGGATTTGGTACGGGTTGGTACGGTTATATGTATTAATCGCAATATTTTACTCAGAAAAACTAGTGAATAGTAAAGCAAATTTATTGCTTAAATAAAATCAACCAACTTTTGGTACTTTTCCTATTCAGATTGGTAAAATTGTGTTATATTTCCTTTTTTTTAATGTAAAACAAAAAAAAGCCTTGAACGTAGACTGAGAGAAAATTATTTTGTGCTAATAGTAAAGTGTGAACTTGATTGGGTTTGCAGTTGTCGGTCTCGTTTTTATGTTTTCCTGCATAGTTGTTGTTGTTTTAACACTGTGCTTCTCAGCGTTTTTTTTTCCAAATGGAGTGTGATACTCTTCGATGTTAGTGTGTTTTATTGTTATTAATTTAGTGCCATATAAAAAGAATTTAACTTTAGAGAATGCGTAAGAAACATTATTTGCAAAATAAATTAGTTAATTAATATATTTGTTTTGTAAAAGAAGCGAATCCTCCGATAATTGTTTAACACGCTATAAATAATATCGAATTTTGAGCGAAGAAAAAACGTCTTCAAATTTTATATGTATTGAACTGAAAAAGGTAGGCGAGTTTATACATGTTTCATCAATAACAAATGATAAAATTATCTACATTTTATACACAAAAAGCAAAAATGTTTCAAGCAAATTCAATATATTGCCTTATTTCTTCACCTCCAAAATTTCGGTTTCTTTCAATTTTTCTTAGTTATATTTTCACTATTTTATTTTACTGTCCATAATTTCCAAATCTTATATATATAGGCACTTTCCTGCCTCTCTATTGCAGCGATTTTTGTATGCAGTTTTTTCTTTTGCTCTTTCCTTTCTGGTTTACATTTTCTAATGCAAAATTATTGATTTTTATTTATCCCGTTCTATTTATGTTTTTGTTGTTAGAAATACGCGTTTGAAACTCGAATTGAATTATCAATGCTAGTAAATTGCCATTTTTGTTCTTCAAAAGAGAATATAAACGATTATATATCTCTTCAAGTGAATTGTCTCAGTTTATTGCCTTCCATAAATTTAAGGAAATTATTTTAAGGGTTGCGATTTACTAGTAATAGTTATTTATAAAAACCGTTGGTGATTTATCTATGAAGCAAGCAGCAACTCGTCATAACGAGATATTTATATTAGATATTAAAAAAAGCATTGATCCTATCAATACATAGGGAATAAACTGCAAGATACAATTTGAAGGCTTTTTTTACCTAACCTGGAAGGATGGTGTTATACTTGGTTTGTTTTTACATTTGCAATACGCAATAGTCGTCAGAGATGCCACGACGTGCATAAATATCCGTAATTAGCGTCATATTTCAAATCGATTTAGTCACCTTCTCTAGTCTGTACGTTCCAGTCACTCAGTTGTTTGTAATTCGTACATTTGTCTTCGGAAGGATTCAGCTGGACAGCAGAATCCGTACCTTGCAATATAGAGGATATATAAATCCAAAACTTGATATATCGAAGTTTTCAATCCGCCCTTGAGGATGTTCACAACGACCAAAATAAGTCACATGTCAATTGTTTTAGAAATATATATAATGTTCGCCTTATTTTGTAACCAAAATATTGTATGTATGTGATATCCATCCATAAATTATTCATCAAGACTGAAGACTTTCTAAGTTAAAAAGAACTGCTTGACTTTAAAAATTTTTGGCGGAAATTAACTTCTCTGTTTTTGTTGACTGAAAATGAATATCACTTACTTCATTTCTTTACTAAGCTTTTAGATATCTTCTTTAAATAGTTGCATCAAACTCTAGGTGGATATCAGCTTTTCTACCGTTTTATGGCTACAGCAGTTGGACCTTTTGTATTCTCAAACTTGCTCTATGTGACCACCAAATAAGTACATAACACTATATGCTAATTTGCAGCCCACAATATTGATACAATCGTCAGGGCTTCAAAAGTAGTTGATAGAGGTTGTACCTAAAACAACCGAAAATTTAAATTTGGTGAAGGAGAAAGTTTGTAATTTTCTTAAAACTACTAATAGAAGGGGAGTGCTCGGTTTTAATATCTGTTTACATATGTTGGTATGTCAATATACATCCTTACCTCGATATATGCTCGATAGCTATAACATTTTGAACTTTTCCGTTGATCAAAAGTACGATCTTAGGGAAGATTAAACTCATCTAACTTCCCTGTTTCTTTACATATATTATATTGTCATAATATTAACGGAGTTAAATGAGTGGAAGATTTATATCATTAGCAAAGATCAAGCACTTCGATGCCGTGATACACATAGGTGAATCATTTAAACATATCCACCAACAGTATTCTTATCGTACGTTCCAGCAGATAGTTCCGAAAAAATAGTAGCATGGTAGCAGACAAGCCAAGTTGTCTCAATTTAAGCATTAAAAGATTACGATGAACTTTCAAAGCCTTCGAGAAATCAGTACAGGTAACATCCGTTTGTTTATAATCTCATTATCGGATTCGCTAAAACTATCAAATCAATTCTAAATACGTGCCCTTGGCACTGTCGTATGCAGATTAGCTTCTAATCTTCATAGGATTCGAACATTGGACTACATATTTTCGCTATGGTCACTTGCCTAGCTTTTGCATGTTTGCAATAACTTGGGGGTTCACCTCCTGCAAGGATATACATCGTTTATGTGTGTGCCTCTGTGTCATGTACTCATCGTACATGCTTTTTTTTCTTTTCTTTTTCTGTGTTTATTTATATATGATTTTTGTGCCTTTTATTTTCTTATTTTTTCTTTATTTTTCTTTAAATACTTTTTAATCGTTATTAATAACATTTAGCATAAGAATTATTTCTAAGAGCCGATTAAATTCGACTGTTAATTTATTAGATGAATTCCATGTACAAATAAAATAAAAATAGGCGAAGGCCTCAAAAATATTTCAAGTCAACTCTAATAGATTTATAGAGCTTGATCTTCGCTTGGAAAAACTATGCTGAGTTACAGACAAACTCGACGTCAGTGATTTGGTAAGTCTTTTAGTAACTAACCTCTCAAAAAGTTTAGGCAGATTTGCATGTATACATACAAATAAAAAAAAACATGATGATCGTTTCTTTTAAATTCTAAGGTTATTTGTCTAATTTATGTTAATCTTACACTAATGTACATATATCTTTTATATTATGCAATTTGCAGTTTCCGTTTGTACCATGTTTTTAAGCTAATATTTTGTAAGAAATTGAAAAACAAGCAATAAAGACCATTTATTTTAAAGTTGAAATATATTCATCAAATGGTTTTTTTAGAGAGTGATAAATGGTAATTTTTAAATTATGGATCAATTAATACGCAAAAATATATCTAAGACGTATATTGTACGTACATCTAATCAATCTTCTTTATCACTAATCAATATACAAGCTTGTCTACTTTTATATTAACTTTGTTATTGTTATTGTTTATAAATTTGTTGTTTATGTTTATGTTGATTTCTCTTTTTTGATCCTAAAACCGTATGTGTATACCCTACACCACTTGTAGTATAGGGTATATTATTTTGGCGCGCACGTATGTAATGCGCAGATAGACTTAAGATAAATCCACCTTTTATTATACAGAAACTTTGGACCAGGTGGGGCAGTTTTCGAACATTCTCCCATATAATGAAAATTCTGATTTATACCTCAAAAAGGTATAATTTTCAATTCTTCATGATAAAAATTATATCATAATAGTATTTCAAAATAAAAAAATGAACTGTTTAATTGACCTATAGTGGTAATTTCATACAAAAGGGAACTCTACATAATTTGGACCATCTACGCCCATTTTTGGATCTTGTCTTATGTAAGGATTAAATTTTTGCTACATTAAGTTGCGTTTTTTGGGGCATTTTCCCATAAATACATACACGAAAGGTATCTTTATCTAAAAACAAGATATAATTTTTGTGTTCTATAATAAGAATAGGAATAGTGTTGGACAATGTGTTGTAGGGTATTTAATGGCGGCCTTCCCCGGCGATAGTGTTATCGTCTGTTTTGTTTATTTTCCCGGAAAACAATATAGTAACGCTGTAGGAAAACAAGTAGGCGTTGGTTTTATTTTTTTTTGGGATGTCAAGTTTTTTTTTTGTTGGGAACGTTTTTTTAATTTTTCAATTTTTGGATTTTGTTCAGTTCAGTAAAAATAAATAAAATAAAAAAAAAATAAATGTAAAAATTTAAAAAAAAAAAATGTGTATAACAATATAAAGTAAAGACCTTTTTTAAGTAATCTAAAAAAAAGAAGAAAATTGACAATCCAACGCGAGTGCATTAAATAATTCAATTCACTAATTATATTAATGACGTGACCGGACTCCTGAGTCATTTTGACCCTTGAAAAAAAAGATATTCCCAGTACAAAAACAAAAAAATATTCAGTTGAAGTTTGTCGTCAGAAAAGAGAAGACTTTTTTTTAAGTTAAAAAAAAAAGAAAGAAAAAAAAAAAAAAACATTTCTTACGGCACTAAGAAAGAGCTAAGAAAGCGAGAATAAAGAGACTCTATCGCTAGTTTCAAAAGAACCAAAAACACAAAATGCGTGTAATTGTGCACATGCAAGCCGGTCAATGCGGAAATCAAATCGGTGGTAAATTTTGGGAGAAAAATTAATGACGTAAATTGCCGAAAACATTGAAGAAATATTGGACTACGTTGCATATGTGAAGATACGAGTGGCAGTAGTTTCAAAATTAGATTTATCAAGTTGTTAATTGTTTCCAAGATCTCGAATGTACATTCGGTGAGTTGTTATTTTTTTTTGTTAATGTAGATTATAATTCTTATTTTTATTATAATCATAATTTTTGAATCAGAATACACATTTGACACTTTTAGATTAAGACATTTGTAACAACAACACTTTAATAAAATGTTTGTAATCTAATTATGTTGTTTTGATTTTGGCTGGCGAAGTAGGTGATCACCTAACACACTCACATTCACTACACATCCACTTACATCTAAATTTATAAAGATTCTATAGGGCAAAATCACTTTCAGGAACCCCCCAATTTTCGGCGAGCTAGTCAGATAGCGTTAAGAGCCCTTTGAGCTGCTTTGCATGCTACAGCGCGGCTGATCATTGTGTTTACCGCTTGAAAGTTTTTAATCTGAAACCGAAAAAGACGTCTTATTGTCCCCCCCTTAGTTCGCCCCTTAGTTTCGCAATTCATTTTTAATTACTAGTATCATCTGTTGGCCGTTTTTTCTGAAGTGGCATTATGAAAGTAGACTTTCACATTCGACAGTCGGAGGGCAGAATGCCGCATCTGAACTGAAGGGTTAGCCACTCGTTTCGGATTTGTCCCGGCAGCCATTTAAGCGGCGGTTTAAGTAGTTCATAACTCGGTCATAGGTAACTTTGGAAGAATTTACACTAGATATCTCAATCAAACTAAAAGCAGAGGCATAGTGGTTTAGTTGATCAGAAGCCACCTTTAAGAATATGGTCGTGTTGGGGGAAACGACCCTTTTTATCGGCTAGCGTAACTTTTGGTATAACGGAGCTTTGATTGCCTAGCAAAATTGCTTTTTCAGGACCAGCGTTGGCTGAC